ATCAGTTGAAACTGTGACAGGGACTTCTTACAGGCCTAAATGCGGTGTTTCAACCCGATGTTGTGGAGACATGGGGAGAATCCACAAACAGACCTTTCGTTTCTGATGATGCCGGCATTTTAATGTCCGGAAGAAATAGGTTACTGTGTACAGTAACTGATTGTTCTACTAATGACACACCTGAGGACAAAACTTAAGAAAGTGGAAAGTCTTTGATGTCGTCGGTCGTCTGTGAAGGAGACAGAGACAATTTTGTTGACACTTGGTTACCTCGTGTCTTCAATAAAGGTCACTGTAATATCTTTCAGAGTTATTGTCTGAATTCCTATATACATTCTGAAAGGTACAACTTCCTTAAGTTTTGTCTATGAGTGTATTAAGTATTTTTTTTTTTTTTAAGTTTCTAGAAAAAAAAGGTTTTATGAACGGTAGGCGTTTAAAAGAAGGGGAAAAAAAGTGGTTTTTATATAAGTGTCGGTGACCTGTATTGGCAGGCGTGGTTGTTATTACAAGTTTTTCCCTTACAATATTCCGTAATAACAGAACGTTTAGAGAAATGGCAGTTTCGCCTTGTTTACTGCAACAACAGCAAGAAAACCTTTCGCCCTATATCTCTGAGTCTAAAGAGAGAAAGAAACACACAGAGAAGACACACATTGCCAGCAAGTAATTGTCACAAGTATTTATCGATTGATGGCAATTTATAAATGTAAACAAATAAGAACTCGGAGTCTTGAGACATAACGACGGCTGAGATTCTCCCAACTTCTCTTTCAGTTTTTGTTTGTTGGGTGGAGTGACGAGGTCTGGTAGATCCGTCCGTCAAGTTACATTCCGTACAAATCCAGATAAACTGAAATATTTCTGGTTCAACTTTATCTTCACAACGTTGAACAGGTTTACGCCCAACTTGTATCAAGCCAGTCAAGGACAGCACGTGTTTGTGACAGCTTGCCCCAGCCAAGTAAACCTATCTACAAAACGTGCGCGCTGTCAACAAACGGTCATCAAGAGCGACTTAACGTGAAACACTTCAGATATCATATTACCGCCAAGGTTAAGATTTGCCACAAGCTGAGAAGTCTAGATCCAAAATGAATCCAAATAAAATGTCAAAATATCTATTACATCCATCCTCACAGCGACCAACATGTGACGACACGGCTGAACGTGTGACAAGAAATCTTGTAGATAACGTATCCAAGTGGCTCCTGTAGACTCTATCTACAATGAGCCAACAAGTGTCAGCAGATCCATCAAGAGCGACTTATCGTGATCCCATTACCAACGTTCCTCAAGGTTGCCGGGCACGAATCCCGCCAGTAGTCACGCCCCAACTTTCAACAAACATCAGCCCAATGTTCTGTTGCATCCTTGACAACTGAACAGTGCATCGCCGCTGTGAGAATCCGTAACAACCTGTTGGCGTTAACCTGAGTCCCAGCTTTGAGATTTCCAGAAATATTCGCACAGCTCTAAACTGAGGCAGGATACGGCGCCTTGAATACCTGTTTTACAAGTTGCACCTCGCACATGGCCCTAATTGTGATTATGTTGCCGTTTAAAACTATGGAATACATAGTTCTTCAATGCCCATATAACCAAGATGCAACGGATCAATAGAAAATATCTTCAATGAAAATAAGCTTTCTTAGCTGAGAGATATCGTCCGTTGTGGAAGTTGTCATTGATGTTTCATGTTCCACATGTAATCCTCCCTCCACAATAAGACTGAGTTGGTGTGAGCGACGGCAGAAGACTTACCTGCACGGCTTGGATGAGGTCGGTGTTGTCCAGTAGCACAATCTTACAATGTTGGATCTTCGGGCCCTTGTCCCCGAGGCACGCCGCCCAGGCCACCATGTCGGGTCAACTGCCCCTCGCAGCGCCCTCTACCGTGACGTCACGAAACTTCGCCGCCAATCGTCTGCCTCCAGGAACCGAGCTGTTTAGAAAATCACTCTTTGACCAGATGACTCGGGCAATTTTCTCTACGTCGCTTCCTCTCCTTTCTAGAGTCGAGCACAGGGTCCAATTGTGGTGATCACATGTCCGTGGATGCAGAACGGAACAAGGTCCCCACAATCTCAATGCCAGTGGTCTGTCCTGACTGTTGAAGATATGTTGGCCGTTGAGGTGTATCCTCACGTCTATACGAATAAATAAGCAATTTCCCGCACCGCCCAATTTATCATCCATTATGAAATACTTCTTTAAGCTTCTGTGAATGATGCTCTTTTGGTTTGTTAACTTTCGTACTGTGTAATCGTCTAAAGTATCATCAGCTGCTCAAAACACAAAATTAGTTGTTCACAATATAAAATGCTGTATCAGGTTTTATACCTGAAAAATCGTTTAATCGGTATTCCATATTCAAAATACACTTTCATGTCCCAAAAAGGAATCTCTCCCGTTTAAAAACACATCAGAACATTTAGCTTGTCACTCCAGTGCAGAACGAAAAGATTCACAATTAGAATGATTCTCAACACCAGTTTCGGAAAATTCAGGGGGAAAAAAGCCCAAAACTTGTATACAATGGTTTCAAGCTATGACCATTCTTTTGTTCTTCAACATCTCAGACCTGCACCCTGTACAAGGGTGTATTTAAAAATACGTTTGTTTAATGGACTTTTTAACGGGAGAGGCATCTCTTTGGGCATACTACTTCCTTCCGCATAGTGACATAACACGCCTTATTGGTTGAGCCAATATAAAAGGGTCGGTCAATAATTAATGCACAATTACCTATATAAATTTTTAAAAAATTAATTAATTAATATAATTTATCATCATAAAAATGATTAAATAAAAATTCTATTTTCATTACTGCAATCAGAATTAAGATATCTTTTGTTTTATATAAAACTCCGATAACGCGGTGATGGAGTTCCTGTTTAAGTCTGGAGACATTTCAGCCACTGTACTTTACTCAAAGTCTGTGTATGGAGCCATGGATAGAGTCACAATACAAAGATGGAGTCATCAGACTGGTGATGTTGTTATTGGTGATAAAGAAAGACCAGGAAGCTCTGTAGTGACGGACCAAAATTTGTCTCTAAAGGAGGAATTAATCAAGAATATCCTGACAATGGCGACTCTTATCAAAGAATATAAAAACTTTTCATGTCTGAAGGAAGTTTTCTTACACTTATTGATGATCTATGATATAAAAAATTATGCTTAAACGAGAAATGTTGCAAATTCGATTTGTTTAGACCTCATGGAGACTATTCTGGAGAACCTTCTCAGGTGTTTGAAGGTGTGATAACATGTGGTGAGATTTATCATTGTGATCCTTCTTCAAAGCGCCACTCACTGCAATGGACCGATGAAACATCGCCAGTAAAGGAAAAAAACTGAGGCTTTCCAAGGACAAAATCACGATCTCTGTCTTTTGGGACCAAGAAGGACTGGTATTCATGGACACTATTGAAGTAAATTATTCTATCAACAAGGAAAGGTAGTGAGAATCATTAGAAAATCGCTATAAAAGAACAATTGAATTAAAAATATCCAACATAAAAAATAAAAAACACCCAAATCAAATTTCATCAATATAATGCGAGACCTCACTTTGAAGAAGTTTTCAAGGTATGGGTGGACTTTGATGCCTCACCCTGCGTACAGCCCTGACCTCAGACTTCTCCTTATTTAGAAGATTAAATACTGTTTTTACTTGGTAAAACATTTGGAAGTGATGCAGTCCAATATGTTGGAAGGTGGTTGAGAGAGTTGGAAAAGGCGCTTTACCAAAGTTCTTTTACAAGTTGGCAACAACGCTGGATGTGTACAGAAAAAAGGTATTGGATGGTATATAGAGGACTGTTGTTATGAGTTCTTATATCTAGAGTTTCAGTTTTCTAGTTGGTCAATAAAAAATGTTATTACCTATGTACATTATTTATTGACCGAACCTTGTATGTATCAAGTTGTTCAATATCTCTAAACAAATTTATTCGAAGTTTCGAAGAATTAAAAAAGAACAAAATCTCAGCACGGAGCCGTAAAGCCAACAACTAGGACAGGCAGGTCTTGTATTGTCCTCTGACACTACCTGCCGTGATCGTCTAGTGGTTAGGACATTGGCCGCAGTAACCCAGGTTCGAATCCTGGTCACCGCACTTTTTTTTTTTTTTGTGCCTCATAAATTTTCTATCCACATCAATTTTGTTATAAAATCGGTAAATAGATTTCTCGTCTGTTTTTAAACACGAGAAGTTCCTTTTAAAGATTCCTTCCACTAGACAATCCTGGTTAGTTGACATTTACACCTATAGATGGCAGCAGCTTACGTCCAGCCCCAGAGAGGATTGTCAACTTTTTGTTAAAACGCACTCACATCCGTCTTTCTTAAATTTTCTCACTCGTTCGCATTGAAATTAATTTCTTTAACCTTTTTATTTATATGTTCTCTCAGAGAGCAAGATACAACACATGACTCCGTGTAAATGGCTAACTGACCGTGCACTATGTAACAATAAGGTACAAAGACATCGCCATGAGAACGCTGAATTGATCACGGTTTCAAATATCCTTTGTTTGTAAAGTTTTATTTCCATTGATGATAGATTACGTTATTTTAGAAGGGGGTCGGTGGAAAGCTGGTTAAACCGTTTGGTTTTCGACCACTACGACCCAGGTTCAATTCCCGCATTGGACACTTTTTTCTGTTTAAAAAAAAAAAAATTCTCCAATGGCCCCCGATTCTTGCAAAAGTCCAACCCCACCTGTCCCTACTATCTAACATAGCTCTAGCTGTCCCTACAACCTTACAATCCCTAAAATAAGAAAAATATAAAGCACGAATGTTTCTTTTTAAACAAAAAAATCTATGATGGTAGGGCTTGGCTCATCAGTGGTGAGCCCTCCCAGCGGTTTCGCCAATTTAAACCACCACAACTCTAATAATGTATTAGACAATTATATTTTATAAATGCAGCAATGAAGGACTGAACCTCACTATATTCTGCAATGTATTGACTGACTGGGGTCGTTGACAAAGCAACAAAATCATCTTTGGAAAACTGGTCAGCATTTACCTGGAGACCACGGCCTTAGTCAGTCCAAGGTGTCTAGTTTTGATGGGAGAGGCGACTTTCTTTCTTTTTTATATATCATTATCTCTCCTCCCGGTTTATAATCTATAATCCAAATTAATCATAAAGCACAATTTGGATTTGGTCTTATTACCTTGTGTTTATAATCCCAATTGTGCCTTATCATAAATAATATATTAACTATTTTTATTTTCCCCCCTCTGATTTATGCAGACCAATTTGTTTATGAGCTTAATTGTCTTAAGTTTTCCAGAGAGTATATAAATTTCATTATTCACCAATCCATGTATAAGATGTCTTCTGTGTGTGAAGTATATGACCCATGTGAATGGGTTACCTAATACTGGGTCACCTAAGTGAATGACCCATATTCACTCGGCTTCTTTGCTAGTGAATATTTCCCCTTAAATATTGTGTTAATTAATGATAAGGCACAATTTGGATTATAGATTATAAACACAAGGTAATAAGACCTAATCCTAATAAATAATCTACTCAATCAGTACTTTTGTCTGATGATGGTAACAACGCTGTTACCGAAACCTCAAACACTATTTATTTGGATTTGGTTTTATTACCTGGTGTTTTAATAAATTTTAATTATTATCATTACATACAGTTAAACCTATTTATAGCGCCCCTTCTAAATAGCGCCTTCCTCTCTATAGCACCCGATTTAAACATTAAAATGTAAAAATTTTACATTAAAAGTGACCTGTCTATAGCATCCCCTCTCTATAGCACCCTATTTTGGTGAGTCCCAAGAGGGGTGCGCTATAGACAGGTTTAACTGTATTTATATAATTATAATTGTAGTTATGAGGATTCTAATTAATCTATCATTATTACTATCATCATTTTGTGTTTCATTTTTTAAATTATCTCACTTCAGAACGATAATAAGGTACGGTTAAACCTGTCTATAGCGCCCCCTCTTGGGACTCACCAAAATAGGGTGCTATAGACAGGTCACTTTTAATGTAAATCGCATCGTACTACGTATTTAAAATCGGGCGCTAAAGAGAGGAAGGCGCTATTTAGAGGGGGCGCTATAGACAGTTTTAACTGTATAATAATAATGAAAATATTTGTTAAAACATTATTCATTGGGCAAACATTCACCCAGGGAGAACCCAGGAGAAGCAGGGTTGAAATATAGAATTTTGTAACTGAAAAAAACATTATTTAACTTGGTACCACATAATATTTATTCATATATACACTCGATCAATGCAAGTAAAACTAACCTATCCAAAATAGACAGAATCCAAGCAAGCGTAGCTAAAATCATCAGCGGACTTCGAGGATCCTGCCCAAATCGTATTGCTGAACTCGAATCCAACCTTCTTCCCCTACACCTAAGGAGAAAAATCTGCTTTTCAAAATTTATAACAAAAAAGATTAACTCTCCCAAAGAACATCTTACAGGAAAATTTATTAGAAATTGGGTCCCAAATCAAAGATTAAAACGCCCCACTCCAAATCATTGAGGAAAATAGCTCCCTCTTCGACATCACAATTTACACTGACGGTAGCCAACTTGAAACTGGACTGTCTGGCAGTGGAATTGCTATCTACAAAGATAAGATCCTGGAAAAAATCTCCCTCTCCCACCCTAAACACCTTTCAGTTTATAAATCAGAACTCTCAGCTATAGATACGGCTCTAAAAGACATCAGCATCAACTCGCCAAGCAAAATAATAATCTACTCCGACTCAAGAGCAGCCATTTATACCCTTCAAAGCTGCTTCTCCAGTGAAGAACCTCTCCTCAAGAGCATTGCTAAGTCTGTAAACCGACTCCCAGCCAACAGCTCAGTCACAGTGCAATGGCTTCCAGCTCACATTGGAATTCCTAGTAATGAGCTGGCAGACTCTCTGGCAAAGGCTGGAGCTCTTGGCCTACCTGAAGCAAGAGAATCTACCACCCAACTAGACGAAAGAGACCTCCTCCATACCATCAAAACCCAATGCCTGCAGGAATGGAAATCTGATGCTGCACATGACTGGTACAGAGCAGGAGGGAAAAACACCGGTTCTGTCCTCCCAAGAGAACAACAGTCTTTGATTTCCAGACTTAAGTCTGGTCATCTACGGACAATGACTTTCCAGAATGGTTGCAAGGTTTTCCCACTATATACAAAGTGCAATTCTCAGCCTGCAACCCCAAGACATATTATTGACTGTATTGACTCATCCATTGATGAGCTCTACTCTTCCCCGGCAGACACCATCAAAAATCTCAAGCTTTACAAGCTTGATACCTTAGTGTGATTGAGTGGAGATAAGAAAGAAGAAGAAGATATATACACTCGTGTAAAACCTGGGTGTTGTCATGTTCATTCAGCTATTTCTAAATATTTTAATCAAATGGGTCATGGTTCTATTGATTAAAATATATGATAATAAATATTCCAAATAATTGCATTGTCATCGTGAGTAAGCAAATTGAAAAAAAAAAAATCAGAATTAGTAGGATTTATAAACACAAGGTAATAAGACCAAATCCAAAATGTTTATAATCTATAATCCAAATTGTGCCTTATCAATAGGATTTATAAAAATTACTTAAATAAAAATGAAGATATAGGGTTTTCCAAGTTCCTCTCTCAGAGCTTGATCTCACAATATCTCATTATGGAGTTCACCGTGCGGTCATACAAGGGATTTTTGGTTGAATTAAAGTCAGTGTGGAATAATTGTGGTGCTTATCTCCATGGTTAAACCAATTCCTGAAGTCCACTCCTCTAATGGAATAATTGTACACCAATTAGGATTTTTAAAATCGATCTGTTGAATTAAAGAAAGTTTTTATTTAAAATAGGTTGAATTAGAGTTAGGTGTATGTTCTAGTTGAATGTTTTTTTGATGGATTCCTTCAACCAGGGAAAACGGGCTGCAAAATGCATCTTGTTACTCTTGTCCATTGAATCGTTGTTTTTTTTCACAAATATGTCTATCTCGGTTGTGATTAGTGCTAAAGTTGAAGAAACTAATTTTTAAAGGGATTTTATTTAAGAAAATAGGATTTTCTTGTAGCGCAGACAATCTGTGTGGCTCTATTAGTTCTTCACTATTCCTGCTTTGTACAGGCGACCTACACCTAGTGTGTATATAGGTGACTGAATGATAATAATATGATAAAGAACAATTTGGATTATTATAGCTACAAGAAAATAAGACCTATTCCAAATACTGTGTGAAGTTTCAGTAACAGCATTTTATCATCAGACAAAAGAATAAAAATTGAAGTCTATCAAAAATGATAAAGCACAATTTGGATTATAGATAGCTACAAGAAAATAAGGCCTAATCCAAATAAATTTATTTGGAATAAATCAATAAATAAATCCAAGTTGTGCTTTATCATTTTTGATAGACCTCAATATTTTTATTCTCCTGTTGTTGTTGTTGTGTCCAATGAAGAGCCTCAGATGTCTCCATGCATCTCTATCACAGCGATGTTCTCTATCTGGGATGTGTAAAGCTGCTGTTCTGGGTCTATGTCAATTTTCTGTTGTTGTCGTGTCCAATGAAGAACCTCAGATGTCTCCATACATCTCTATCACAGCAATGTCCTCTATCTTGGGTGTGTAAAGCTGCTGTTCTGGGTCTATGCCAATTTTCTGTTGTTGTTGTTGTGTCCAATGAAGAACCTCAGATGTCTCCATACATCTCTATCACAGCAATGTTCTCTATCTTGGGTGTGTAAAGTTCTGGGTCCATGTCAATTTTCTGTTGTTGTTATGTCCAATGAAGAGCCTCAGATGTCTCCGTACATCTCTATCACAGCTATGTTCTCTATCTTGGGTGTGTAAAGTTCTGGGTCCATGTTAATTTTCTGTTGTTGTTGTTGTGTCCAATGACGAGCCTCAGATGTCTCCATACATCTCTATCACAGCAATGTTCTCTATCTTGGGTGTGTAAAGCTGCTGTTCTGGGTCTATGTCAATTTTCTGTTGTTGTTGTGTCCAATGAAGAGCCTCAGATGTCTCCGTACATCTCTATCACAGCAATATCCACTATCTTGGGTGTGTAAAGCTGCTGCTCTGGGTCCATGTCAA